AATAAGAGTTGCAATAGTGCTAATTTGGCAATGGTGATAATTCTATGTATAACTGCTAAATAAGGGGAAATGTTTAATGCCATAAAATGAATTAGCATTATAGTAACCAGTCATTCTTTTAAAATTTTTAAATTCTAACCTCTCAACCAAAATAATTTTCCCAGGAATATTTAGTGACATCCATTTGCTGGCTATGATGTACAGTGGAGAAATGTGTTACTGGGGATTGAAGCATTGTGCAGATCAACAATCAGAAAATCATGAAGTGGATACTGGTGTTTCTGGAGCAAGCGGCATTACACACAAAGAACCCTTGGATTTCCGAGAAGTAGGAGAAAAAATTTTGAAAAAGTATGTATCTGTGTGTGAAGGACCCCTGAAAGAACAAGAATGGAATACAACAAATGCAAAACAAATTTTAAATTTCTTTCAGCATCTCACTAACTAGTAATTTCATCTAGCCCTTTTCAAACAGAAAAATAAACCAATGGAAAAGTTCCAAAAAAGAAGACATTATTGATGCTGAATTAAAAAATATTACACTACATAAAGATATCCAGCACAGCTAACCTTTTTAAAATGCTATTATCATCTTTAATTATAATTCTTAAACCTCTGAAGAAACTGTTCTTTAATTTCTAAAATAGCATGTATACTCTAACTCAGCCTCAAGTACAGATATACTGTAATTGATAATGAGGAATCAAGCTTAGCTTTGTAAAAAAAATGTTTTGTTATTTTAGACGTTTTCATTGTATATCTTATGTAATGTAAGACTGATCATTTTAACTATACTTAACATTATTTTTTGATCTCCCTATCTTGAAGTTTACTATACTTGAAGGATTAACAAAAATCACTTCGTGCTTTGATCTATATACTGTGGATATAAAAATAGGCCAAATGAAAAATTATGACTAACATTTAAATTCTACTTTCATGATACGATAAATGAAAGATTCCACAAAAGAATTGTTAATTAGTCACCATGTACTACTACTAATGACATTTCTAATATTAGACATTTTATAAAAATTTAATCATGATTTTTCTATTTTGTTCACAAGAGTGTTCATGATTTATCAATGGAGATAAAATCAAATTAGGTTAGCTGATTTGTCTTCAGGGTACATCTTTTCATATGTGTTGATGTGTTGAAATTTTTGCCTTTCCTAGTGGGGGTGAGTGTCTTGCTTATGGTGTTCTGTCTACCTCAACTCCTACTGTCCTCTTGGGCTGACCTGTCTGATACCTTGCTGATGTCCTTTGCCTCCGAGCAGGTGATGTTACCACATTCCAGGAACTTGTTCCCATGGCCATCCTTTGAATAGCACCATTCTGAGTTTCTCTTTCTGAAATCAAATTTCAGTAATGGATTCTCATTTTGCTCAGTTTATTGACTTTTCTCTCTCCTTTATTTGTATTTTCTTTCACTTCTCTGTGTCCTCTTGATGGCTCTTTATTTTCTTGAACTATCGGCTCCTTTCAGAATTTCTTCCTTCTCTATCCAACCTCCGTCTACAGGGCACCATATAAAGTGTTCTCCATAGTCTCTTCAAATCTGTCTTTCCCTTCGCCCTTCACCCTAATCTTTCTGCACACCCTCACCATTGTGTTCTGTTACACACTTATGTGGATGTTCTTCAAAGTATAATCACCAATTCCCAAATCTGCAATTTCTTTCCTGTTGTCTAAACCTTATTTCTAAATATCTGCCTATTAAACACTTTTACTTAACACATTCCATAATAATTTTAAATTCAATATGTTCAAACAGCAAATCCTCATCTTTCACATGAAATCTTTTCTAGTTCATGTTTTCTCTGTTTCAGCCACAGAGTAGGACAACAGAGAAAGCGCAACACCAGATTCTGCCTACCTTCCCAGCGTCATCTCTGAAATTCATCCCGTATAATCATATTTTAGGCAGTCTAGCATTCCTCAGCCATTTAAATCTGGGGCTTCTTTTTGATAAACATTCTGATAGATCCTCTTGGTACAAAGAGAATCTTTCCATATAACTGCCCCGCCTGCTTGCCTATACTTATATAGCTGAGAAGATTTTATTTAACACGGCTTTTTGTCAGATTTTATAGGCATACCTCGGAGATATTGTAGATTCAGTACCAGGTCACCATAATTAAATTAACTTCACAAAAGAGTCATGAAGTTTTTGGTTTCCCACGTGCATATATACATTATATCTCTATGATACTGCAGTCTGTTAAGTATGTAGTAGCTTTATGTCTAGAAAACCAATGTACATTCCTTAAAGAAGAAGCTGTTGACAAAATCATTACCTATAGACTTGCTCCATGCAGGGTCACTGCAGATCTTCATTCTGGAAAGTACAGCATCTGCCAAGTGCGATAAAGTATAATAAAACGTGTGTGCCTATACTATGAAAATACATTTGTGCTTTCCAAGTATTAATATTTAAGTAGCTTTAAATATGGTTTTTAGAAATACAGATTGCACACTCTCATACCCCTTTTGGAGAATCACATCACCATCAGCTGTAAGCTCTTCCCAGTTCTTTCCCCATTGTGCTGTGTTTCCCTCCTCAGACACCCTTTGAGGCTTCATTACTTCTCCCTGAATCACTTTGCCCTTGTGGCCAGGTGAATATCTGCTTATTCTCCAGACTAAGCTCCAGTAATACTGTATCTGTATGGCTTTTATTTAGTTTCCAGTGAAAATTTGCTTTCCTTTGATTCTTTTCCCTTATTCTTCCCCTCCCTCATCATACTACTTTGTAGTTTTTTTCCCCCCCTTGGGAGTTGATGACCTTAATATTTAAAAAATGTATCTTTATGCATGTTGCTTAATGAATAATGGACCCCTAAAGTGTTTTTTGAGTTAATGGACATGATTCTAAGTGCTGACCTTTTCATAAAAGAGTTGCTGCTATTGTATTCCAAACTGCCATGCCCTCTATACCAGCGCTTGACAAGCCAAATAGGGAATTACTCCTCAAAAGAGTGAAGTGTTCTAACAGATTTATCACCTCAGAAAAGAAGACAATTTTGTATTCAAATTGGAAACTTCCATTTTTGCCTTCAAGACCCTTCTAAACCATTTGGGTCTCCTGCTAGTTGGTACAGTTATGAGGGTACTTTTGGGTGCTTTTTATACAACTTTTCCATCTCCCACACAATTGGAGGATAACTTATAGGCCCTAACAGTTATAATACTTTTTACTCTGTTGTATTACCAAACAGGGAATAACACATTTTTGTGTGTGTTAAAGCCTGTTAAGTAAATTCTGTCTCATTTAGAATGGAGTAACCTTAAGATACCAAATATTCTGCTTAGGCAAAGTACAATAATTCACTCATTCTGCAAGTATCAGGTGCCTGTTCCTGCCATGTTTTGCCCTAGGCACCAAATACCTAGCTTTGTAAAACATTCTCTTTCAGAACTTGTTTTCTAGTGGAGAAGATTCTATACTTAACACAGCTTTTTAATAGGATTTAAGTATTAAATAATGCTGTCTAGGAAGAGTATAAGCAGGGCCAAAGGGCTATATGACACGGAGACAATTGCTGTTTTATTTGGGGTGATTGGGAAAGTATCTCTAACTTACCTACTTTAGCATTTGTGTCTTTATATTCTACCCTTTAGGTTAAATGCCTTGCACATTCATATAATTTCTCTTTCTTATAGATATTCTAATGCTAAATTACTAAGCGCGCTCATTTTGGTTGCATTTAAAGGATTTCTATCCCCGTATGGCCTTTGAATTCCATTGTTAAAAGGAGTGAGTGGTAACCTAAAAGCCTCATTGAATCTATCTTGCTTTCTCTTCATTTTGTGTCCCCTGATGTATTACTAACACTTAAATTCTGTTAACAGATTTTTCTAATTCTTAAATTTGTAGCATTCTTTCCCAGTATGAATATTTTGATGCTTTAACACCTAAACGTCTATCCATTTTTTGCTGAATTTATAGGATTTCTCACTACTGTGAATTTGTTTGATGGTAATTAAGGTAAAATACCATGACTAAAGACTTTTCCTTACCCCTTGGCATACCATAGAGGGAGGTGAGTATCATGACTGAAACCCACAACAGAATTACATTCCTAGCTTTGCAATCCCACTATGAATCTCTGATGTTGAAGTGGGAGCTATGTTTTAAGGCATTCTCAAAATTATTTTAATGGCAGTTTAAAAAAAACCAAGGCTGTTTGATATGCTGATTTTAGATTGTCATACTTCACCTTCCAGGGCTGCTTTTCTGGTTCTTATAAGGATACCCCATCTGCCACAGAATCCAGGAGTATGTAGTTCTCTGGTATCACTGTCTGTATTATTTTAAAATACAGTATAACATATCATGTAGTGGAAGTATTACCTTAAAATGCATTTTCTGTATCTACAATTAAAGTATACAATTAAAGTATACATGCTGGTGTTCTTTACAGTTTTTGTTTTCCTACTTATAGTGAAAATTTCCAAGTAAATTGTTTTGGAGCATATAAATTTTTAAAAAAAAATAAAACCATATTCCCATATTTGTTTCTTGTTTTTTTTTGGGGGGGGGGTTTATGTCAGAATGAAAAGCTTTGTCATTTAAGCTTACTGTGGATACCTGAATATTGTTTTTTCTGATCCTAATAACTTTCAAACAGGGTGGTATAATGGTTAGGAGCCAGTGACTTGGAAGTTAAATCCCAGCCTACCTTTGTGATTCTCTGTGATTTACTTAACTTTTGTACACTAATGACACAAGCTATGCAATCTCCACTGACTGACATATTCCAGATAGAGACGGAAGTGCTCTGAAAAAAATCAGAATTTCCATGCTAACTTATGTTATGACTCCCTTTTTTGTAATATCAAAATATTCTTTATTTTTTTTTTTTTTAAGATTTATTTATTCGTACAGAACTGGGGTACAGGCTAGAGATGTGGAGGGTGAGAGGATTCACCAGAGACAGAACGGGGAGCAGAACAGACAGATCAACAAAGTACACTGCTGAGGGGAGCAGAGGGTGGGTCAGGAGAGGTCTGCCACGCCCTTGTGGATCTCCTCCGGGGCAGGCAGGGATCGAACTCATGTGGAAGTGGCTTAAGCTTCTTTGTGCTGTGCTTTAACCCACTGCGCCACCAGGGAGGGCCCATAATATCAAAATATTCTAAGCAACCATCAGCTTACAACCGGATTGCCTTAGCCTCATAAGGCACTGCCTGGCTCAGGTGAGCAAGCACTGCCTAAGACAGGAAATTCCTCTAGAAAGCAAAAAATAATATTACAACTGGCTGATTAATAAAAACAATTATAACACAATATTGTAAGACAAGGCAGTACTAGAACATGCTAAAAAATAAAGTTCTTTTCCTGCTGGGACCAGAACCACTCTATTCTGTTAAGCTTTTATTGTTCAGTCTTTAAATGAGGAATCTTACTATCTCCCTTAGTGATTTATCTACCAGAAAACTCCTCGAGCCTAGTCTTCAACCTTACTTTACCCTCTTTCACAACTTCTTGGCCCACGACCTCACCTTATCCCCCTTCACATCTCCAGCCCAGCCTCCACCCTAACCCTCGACTTCATTTTACCCTCTAGGATGTCTCAATGAGAATGAAGATCATTAAGTAGCATTTAAGGTTTAAAGGGACTTTATTTTAGCCAATCAACACTGTAGTAAATATAACAATGTTAGCCTTAAATTTTATGAATTTATGTACCTATCTTAACTTTAATAGATTGATTTTAAGAATAATGAATGTTATATCTTAGCTAAAGGGCAATACGACCCTAAACTGTTCTTAGAAAAAAAGATGATTGTAATCTCTCAGCCCAGTTCATGTGCTGATGTCATTCCACTGCTTGCTCCTAATGTATAAAATAAACTTCTGCTAAAGGCAGAACAGGAAGACTTAAACCCAATTCCTATTCCAATGTCTTCCTCACTCCCCATTCCCTTTTCTCCTTTTCTCCCTTTTTTAGGAATCTCCGCTAGCCAACACTTCTCTGACCTTGAGACCCTGCCTGTTCTGCCCCGCCCCCATAATCTGTGATCAGGGAACAAAGGGTCCCCGACATATTAATATGCTGTTATTCAACATGGGGATAGGAACACTAACTACCTTACAAGTTACTGAAGATTAAGTGAGTTAATATTCCAAGTGTTTATAGTTTAATACATAGTACATGGTATAAGTGCCCAAGAACACATCTTTAATACCTGCATAGTCATATTAAAGTTGCTGACCTTGTCTTCTGTTTTGAAGACTATTAAGGTAAAATGGGATTAATTTTTAATAGGTGGTTTGAGTTAAAGACTTTTGACAATTGAGATAATAAAACAGTGGACAGATTGATTGGAATTTAGATTTTACATATTTTCACGAAGAAATTGGATAAGTTGCAAATTCTGGATGTAATCAAGTGCTGGAAATGGTTCTAAAAATATAGAAAGCTATCTAATTTTTATTACGAGTGTACAAATGGATTTTTACACTTAATTATGCTAGGTATGTCTATTTTTTTGCACGGTGTAACAGGCAATGCAAGCTTGATCTTTATTAATACTGGTGATCTTGTCATTTTATATTTAACATAGCATTAGAATGAAGTATTCCTGTAGGCAACAGAGATCTGGCTTCAGAACAGTGTTTGGGTTATTTTCGGTAAAGTGATGTGTTTGAAAAAAGCTGATAGATAGTTCCAAGTAAGTATTTGTGTCCTTCCTATTATTTGTGTCCTTCCTATTTATAGACCATACCCTGTCCAGTGTAGTACATACTTTGTAATGTGGTCTTAAAGCTGTGTTAAAGTAATGCTATGTAAGACAGGATGGACAACTGTCTGAAGAAAAAACTTAGAGAATTTTAATATGATATCTGTAGCTCAGGTTGAAGTTTTGCTGCTATTTTATGATATGCACAACATTAAATTTTTAAAAAAGATTTTTGATGCATATAGAACCAGGCCAGAGGTACAGGGGCAGTGAGAGGATTCACCAGAGACAGAGTGGGGAGCAGAACAGGTAGACTGATGAAGTACTGTGCTGTGGGGAGCTGCAGGCGGGTCAGGAGAAGTTGCCCACCCATATAAAGTATGTGGTGTATCTAAATTTATTTCGGTATAAATTTATTTCGGTATAAATTTCCTTTATAATTGGGCTCCCTACTTGTTTGCAAATAAGAAAATGGGAAGTTGGGGACTGATAAATAGACAAGTGAAAAACCCCAGTCTGGCTGGATTGAGAAAGATGCCATTGGTTACTTAGTGCAGCATGTTGGGAGGGTCATCCACTGAATGAGTAGGAGTTGCCCAGGCCCAGACCAGTGGTTCCCTGATGAAGACATCTTCGGAAGGAGCCACTGATAAAGGGGCAAGAGACTTCTAGCAATGGTTGAGGTTAGCATGGCCCATGTTGTGGCCTAACGTGAACTGCGCAGTGACTTTTGGCCGACACTCCCACTTGGGTTCCAAACACGTCAACCTAGGCCATCTGCCAGCTGCACTAGCCGGGGCAAGCAGCCCGGGACGGGAGGTGGAGGCGCCCGCGCGGCCCTCGGCGAGTCACTTGCGGCGCCGGCGGCCATGGCTGGAAGCGAGCCACGTAGCGGAGGCAGCTCCCCTCACCCGCACCACAGCGACTGGGGCCGCCTGGAGGCAGCCATCCTCAGCGGCTGGAGGAGCTTCTGGCAGTCGGTGGGCAAGGAGAGGGCGGCGCCGAAGGAGCCCAGAGAGGAGGCGGAAGAGGCCAGCAACCTGACACGGCTGCCGGTGAGTGTCGGCCGCCTGCCAGGGAAGACCGAGGGGCCGGCCTGGGAGGCGCCGTGGCGCCCGGGGTGGGGGGCGGGGGGTGGCAGGGGCTGAGGGCACCCAGGCCCTGCCAGGCCCAGCCCCGTGTCTGCTGTCAGCTGTGAGCAACTGTTAATCTGAAACGCCCTGGCGTTGACCCCTGGGCTTCTGCCGGATCGAAGGTCGCAGCAAGAATCCACAAAGGGGCGCCTGGTAATCAGCAAGGTCATCCTAGGTTTTCTACTCTCCCCAACTGGTCTTGGGAGGAGGACATCCTTAATAGCAAGGCCAAGGAAATAAGGAAACCCTTCCTCACTTTTTGGGTAGCTTGGGAAAGTATCCAGCTTCTGAATGCTTAGCATCATTTAGCCCAGACTCACGGGATCAAAACACGTGGGTGGGAGGGTCCAAGGATATTGTGGCTATGACCCTGCTGTCTATTTCCTAGGGTAATACGGAAGTGACACAATGTACACTCAATGAAAGTAAATGGCCTCAAGTTACAGCAGGGCACAAGAATTCTACACATCATTCGTTGCTAAGCTTCAGGTAGAAGAGAAACGGGGAGAGAAACTCTAAGAAAATACTAAAATTATTTATCTCAGTTGGACGATTTGACACCCTCTCCTCATCTTCAAGTCTATTAGAAATTGAAAACTGCAAGCTTAGAATGCCTCCAGTGTTCTGCCACTGAGAAGATTCTTTAAATCTATACATCTTAATCAGGAGCCTGATGACAAAATCTAATTATATGATAAAGTCAGCTTGATAAAAATTTACTTTGAAAAATAAAATATTTCCTTAAGTAATTATTCAAGTAAGTCATATGTCAAAATCTCCATGAGAATATAAAAGAACTAGTTATTTGCTTGAAAATTGTTGAAACAATGGTTGGTTTTTAGAAATATTTCTGTGTATCTACAATTTTCAGTTATTCTCTCCTGATGGGAGGAGAATGACACCAGTATGTGAGATTTAATTTTTTATGGCACTAGCAGTTGAGATCATCTTCATCTACCCAGCATAATCACTGCTTATAAATTTAGTAACTTATCATGATGGTTTAGCTATTAATAGACTGTTCAGTCTTTTATTAGGAAACATTTGTGTTATTATATATATACTTTATCAAACAATTTCCAAGATATGTTATTCCCCTTTTTTTCCTGTTTGCTGCCTCCCTTGGTTTTAGATTGACGTACAGCTATACATTTTATCATTTCTTTCACCACATGATTTGTGTCAACTGGGAAGTACTAGTCGTTATTGGAATGAAACTGTACGAGATCCAATTCTGTGGAGATATTTTCTTTTGCGGGATCTTCCTTCTTGGTCTTCTGTTGACTGGAAGTCTCTTCCAGATCTAGAATTCTTAAAAAAACCTGTATCTGAGGTCACAGATGGCACATTTTTTGACTACATGGCAGTGTAAGTATCTAGTTTTATAAATTAAAAAGTAGATATGAAATTTGATTCCATGGCAGGTCAGTAGTCTTGGCTGTTACTAACTTGCTTCATGAATTTTGGGTTCAAGTGTCCCTTTGTAAAAATTGGGAGTTGGGTTAAAGAACTTTCCTTCATACGGACACTTTAAACTTTTATATTATGTTACCTCTCTGTGGTACCTAACTAGACTGTTGACTACCTGAAGATAGTATACATGGCAAGAGTAAACTACTTCGTTGAAATTTTCATTCATTGTTTTTAGAATACTTTTCATGTTGTTAAATAGTAAATATTTTTTTAATACTCAGAAGGAAGAAAGTCCAAAGATCAGAGAATAGTTCTTTGGCAGGATAGAAAACCATTTTTAAGTCTCTTGGAAGTAAGGTTTTGTTATCATCTAAAAGCACTGACCTTTTCAAGTATCATGTAGATAAGAGAATTAAAGTTTTTGAGCAACTGCAGTACATTGGCTTCTGTGAGGGATGCTTTATGTATGTTTACTTATTTAATCTTAATCCATGAGATGGTGTCATCTGTGTTGTTGATATGGACTGAAGTTGAATGCTAATGACTTCTTCCTAAGGTCCTATAGCTTATAAGGGACTGTTCAGATGGGCAATCCTTCATGCTCCCTTAATAGCATGTATTTGAATCTGAATATAACTTGCTTTAGTGAGAGCCCAACATTTAAGCACTGTAAGTAAAATCAAAAGAATATTTGCACTTTGATAAGAATTGTTTTTGCTATGCTAGATTTAATAGCTAAATAAGGGTTTTAAACAGATTCAGTTATCAGGGTCTTTCTTATCCCAGTATAGATGATATTATATCAGGTCTTGTGAGACTACATGACTAAAATGTGCATGTTACGTTGCATATAATTTCAGCATTGCCACTGTACTCTGGCTGGGTGGGCCTTACCTCCACAATGTTACATAATTGACTTTAGAAATCCAATGTATTTCGTACTCTGGAAAGTAATTTTACCAGGGATAATAATAGCCATGCTGTTTGTGATCATATAAATGATTTCTAATCCTTAAGTTTCCATGGGTTGATATTTCTCGAATTATATGAATGAAAAAAATTAAGTTCAAACTACAAGTGGCTTCTGTAAATGAGGTGGTCAGGCTTGGCCAAATCTATTGAGCATTAACATTGACTATTTCCTTCTTTAAGTAAAAAGTTCCTAAATAAAGATGATTATCTTGTTAGGTTAGTGATCATCATAACCAGCTTGATTTATCTGAGGAACTTTAGTTTTTATTTTGACTGGATAACTTTAATGTTAATAATACAGAATTGCTAGTTTAGGAATTCATAGCTATTAAACTGAGTTGTTTCTTTCATATAATTCTTAGCTTGCTAGATTATCTGTAAGAACATTTGAGCCTTTTTGCTTACTTAACACTTGCCAAATTGTTGTTACACTTGATGCTGATAATAGGAGTATTTATAAAACTGGCTATATTGAAGGCCTTATATTTAATTTCTGGGGACATTTATGCTAACGATCTGTGTAGTTTTATCTTTGGTGCAGTTTCTTAGTCTCAGCACTATTGACATGATGGTCTGTCCTGTGCATTGTAGAATGCTGAACAGCATCACTGACCTTGTCCACCAGTAGCATCACCCTCAAGGAAGATTTCTCAGCTCTGGACCACTTTTATTTCCATATCGCCTTGTACTTACTTTCCCCCTGTACTCAGCACACATTTCATAATGGTGTCCATCCTCCACTCTACTCCCATGGGGATTGGGACTATTAATTTTTGTCTTCCTTGTGTCTAGCATGCACCACTAACTTTTATATTGTTGACTGAATTGTAAACTGAGTATTTTCTGTGCTAATTTTCTAACTATGACAGTAACTCTTATATTATTGGCTGAATTGCAAACTGAGTATTTTCTGTGCTAATTTTCTAACTGTGACAATTTTATACAGCTATAAAATGTGTTGTCCATATACAAGAAAATCTTCGAAATCTAGCCGTCCTGTGTATGGAGCTGTGACCTCATTTTTGCACTCATTGATCATTCAAAACGAACCACGATTTGCTATGTTTGGACCAGGTTTGGAAGAATTGAATACATCTTTGGTGTTGAGCTTGATGTCTTCTCAGGAACTTTCCCCAACAGCTGGTTTGCCTCAGAGGCAGATTGATGGTAATTTTCATTGTGTTAAATTACAGTATATAATGCTCAAATATTTTTCACTTGACACTAATATTACATAGAAAATTAATTTTTTAGCTAACTCTTTGTTGTAATGAAATATAATAATTTAGTGAGTGGAACCCCTCCGGATTGCAATGGATTAAAAAAATAAAGTTATTTTTATAAAAGGTAAGCTTTCTTTTAGTTCTTCAAGTCTGTATAATCCGAATAAAAAGTTATGTAAAAGTAAATTATATGTTGTCAAGATGTTATATTTGTATGGTAGATATTTAATTTGCCTTATTTTAAGAGAATGTTAACAAAAGTTATTTATTTTATACTGTGTGCAAAGTATTTTAATATACATTAGAATCTTAAAAATGAAATAAATCATCAATTTCCCCTTTCTATTCAAAGAATAAAACAATAACCATGTGATTAGTTGGTGGGCAGAATACATAATATATATGAATGATGCTATAATATAGCTTATGCTTATTTATTGACGGCACCTATGAGATTCTAGAGATGCAGAGATTTAAAACAAAAAACATCAAAAATGTCTGTTTACCATGAAGATACTTGTTTTAAGTAAGGACAGAGGTAAGGTATACAAGTAATTAGAATATATTGTGATTAGCTCTTGGGTACAAAAGTAAGGGTCAAAAGGAGATTCCATAGTGAGCATGAAGAGTGATTTGTAGGAGTAAGCCTTTTTAAAAAGGCCAGGGTAAATTTATTCTGAGAACTACATTTCTAAAAGCACAAAGCTTTGGGTATGCCTGACACATTTGAAGTATCTCGGTGTCTAGAGTAGGGCTAGGAGATAACACCTGTAAGCTATATAGTTAAGCAACTGGGAGCTGATGAAGTCTTTTAAGGAGAAAAATGATATGATGGGGTTGTACTATACAAAGATCACTCAGATTTCTGAGTGCTGAATTGATTAAAAGGGGCCATAAGACTCAGACTCAGACTATAATAGTGTGATAAAAATATGAAGGAAATATAATTGACTGAGCATGTATTAGCTGTAAGAAGGAACACTCCAGGATTCTGGTGTAATTTTTATATTGAATAATATATAGTGCCATTCACTAGAATAAGGAAACAGAAAGAGAAAAACAACCTTTTTTTGGGGGGGGTCTACATAGGGTGAATGATAGCTACTCTTTGGGATTTGTCCACTTTGATAATTGGGAGATATGAATGGAGATGTCTGGTATAAGCATCCTTGATTTTGATTACTGGGAAATGCAAGTCAAGATGCCTGTTTTATTTGAATGGAAGCTCCACAGGGCAGGAATCTTGTCAGCTTTATTCTTAGCTGTATTGGTGACACCAGGCACATAGTAGGCACTCAATATAATTTGATGAATGAATGAGCATGCCTTTATGGATTAATAAATGCATCCAGATTTCAATAGTAAGATCTGGGCTAGGAGCCAAGATGCAGGAATTGGACAGTGTCCACATAGACTTGGACATTTCTGAGGATGGAAAGAAATATGGTGAAAATCTGCAGTGAAGTGATTATCAAAAATAGCTTCATAAATGAAGGTCAAGAAAGTGGTGATAGAACTACAATTAAATGTTATGTGTCTGAAAGATATGGAGTTTTTCAAGATGGTTGGTGAGTAACAGTTAGGACACAGCATTGGAGAATAAAAAGAACATTTGCCTTGTTGCTTTTTTCTATATGAGAGAATAAGACTCCACAGCAGAAGCAGTATCACTTGGGGACAGGCCAGTTTCACATAAGTCCACAAGGTGGAAGCAATCTCTTTAGGTGCTGCCAGAAAGATAATAGTAGGGGACAAAAGTGGATGTAGGAGCTTGATGGTTAGAAGTGACTACAGAACTCTAGGTGAGAGGTGACGATAATTTAGACTGAGGTGGAAGTGAGGATGAACAGAAGCAGACAGAGCAAGCACTTTGTGTAGAAAAAAGAAGTGGAGTTGTGGAGGAAGAGAAGGCTCTCTACAGGCGGCAAGAGGAGAGGCAGCCTAAGTGTTATGAGCCAAAGGAAGGACAAGTTTAAGAAAGGAGCTATAACAATACTGAATGATTCAGATATAAAGTAGTACATAGCTTAATATTTAACACTTGTTATTTACTAGTGTAGTATTAGGTGTTTTACATATGTGATTTTATTTAACCCTTACGATACTTCAAAGGAGTAGGTATTATTATTTTATTTTGATGTCAAAACAGAATCTAACAAAAATGTGACTGCATTACATTCAGAATTTCAATCAAAATCTCTTCCAGATATCAGCACTTGCCATATTTCCTGTTTTCTGAGGTACTATCCGTAATTCCCTATCAATTTAAAAACAACTTTTCAGAGGAGGGAAAGGCCATCTCATTGATTTTATGCATGGAGTAAGAGACTAATGAGAAACATAAAAATAAAAACAAATTTTTGCCTTGATAAATATTAGTAGCTTTTAGGATACAGCTGGCACATATGTGCTTATGATAAAATTCATGATAATTATGGTGATAAAAAAGAAATATTATGACCATATCAGTTTTTAGTTCCTTATCTACTTTTTTATTATCATGTTGTACATACCATGTTTATTTTATTCCAAAGCTATATATAATGTATAGTTTTTTTTTTATTAATTCTTTTTACTTATATTGGGTTATTTTTCCAATCTGATCTTTTACAATATTTATTAATGGATTTTCTTTTATAACTGTAATTCTCTCCTTTAGGTATTGGATCAGGAGTCAGTTTCCAGTTGGGCAACCAACATAAATTCAACATTCTAATACTATATTCAACTACCAGGTAAGGCTACCTGCTTGGTGGTGTACTTGACACATCAGGATGGGAATACTTTAGCGGAATAGAGCCTGCTTAGTATCAGCTTATGTCTAATATTTATATTTTTCTTACAGAAAGGAAAGAGATAGAGCAAGGGAGGAGCAAACAAGTACAGTTAACAAGATGTTTAGTCTACAGAATGAAGGGAATGGTCAACAAGGAAGCCGTTACAGTGTAATTCCACAAATTCAGAAGGTGTGTGAAGTTGTTGATGGGTTCATCTATGTTGCAAATGCTGAAGCTGAGAAAAGTAAGCATTATTTTCTTTTTTATAAGCATTTTAAATAGTTTAAATCAAATAACACATTTTTTTTAAAGATTTATTTTTTTATTCATACAGAATTGGGGTACAGGCCAGAGATGTGGAGGGTGATAGGATTCACCAAAGACAGAGTGGGGAGCAGAACAGGCAGATCGGCGAAGTACACTGCTGAGGGGAGCAGCGGGCGGGTCAGGAGAAGTCTGCCACGCCATGTGGTCACCTCCGGGGCAGGCGGGAATCGAACTCATGAGGAAGCGGCTTTAGATTCTCGGTGCTGTGCTTTAACCCGCTGCGCCACCAGGGAGGGCCAATAACTCATTTTTTTAACAAAGATTTATTTATGCATGCAGAACTGGGGTACAGCCCAGAGGTGCAGAGGCAGTGAGAGGATTCACTGAGACAGAGTGGGAAGCAGAACAGACAGATTAACGAAGTACACTGCTGAGGGGAGCAGCGAGTGAGACAGGAGAGGTCTGCCACGCTATGTGGGTAACTTCCTCAGCGGGGGATTGAACTTGCACTGACGCGGCTAAGGCTAGCTTGCAGTGCTGCGTCCTAACCCATTGCACCACCAGGGAGTGCCCTCAAATAACACATTTTAAATTTTTTTTACTGATTTTTAATAATTTTATTAATGTGAAGTCTGTGACCATTGTAATTAATAGTAGATTGTCAGACCTTGACATGTATTAGGATTACCTGGAGAACTTGTTAAAAACACAGGTGCTGCTTACTACCCTGGTGGATTTTGACTCGTAGGTTTTGGCTGCTTCTTGAACATCAAACACCAGTGTAAATATGATACATCCTGAAGTTTGTACATAACTACATACTACTTTTTTGTTATATACTTCTGCAGCTTTTGTTACTGATGTTTTGTCTGCTTCTTGCCCCATTCAAATAATTTATATAAATAACTGAAAATTTTTATGTGTGTGGTGGGGTATTTACCTGAAGTACATTAGTTAAGAACACTTCATATATTCTTGAATCGTTCCCATGCTAATTATATGCTACAGAGGCATGAGATCAAAGTATTATTGGACCATAATCCAGTGCTATAATCGATCCCCCAAATCCTTTGTGAACATAGTTGGGCATAAATATATATCATTTATATATATATATATATATTGTTTATATATTATATATGTCTACATACACATGTGTTATAGTTCTTGATATGTGTAATACACTATTTTGAATTTCCATTGAAGTAATTTTCCCTATGGTAGACATGGAAGCAATTACACTTTAAAGATATGAGGAAATTATTCATAAGAAATATAAATGCCTCTTACTACAGAAGACCTACAAAAGGCAAAGTTAAAGGATCAGCTTATTTATCCTACCAATATTTGTTGAGTTTCTGCTATGGTTAGGCACTGTATAGGTGCCAAAAATGCAAATGGGAAACAAAACATAATTTTATCTAGTTTCCAGTCTGTGTCCTATCCTACAGCCCCCTTATAAAACACACAAACAAAAAATAAATAATCTTAAAACAAAAAGACAATCTACTTGTATTCAAGCAGCTCAGATTCTTGAGCACCTTCCTTGGTGATATCCTTGGTGATATAAGCCATTTGTGATGATCTGCCTGTCTTTGATAGTCTTTTTGAATATGAAACTGAAAGTGCCTGCCACTTGAGGTGGGGCAGGAAATTCCTCTTCCTCCTCCTTGGTCCCAGCAGAAGCCAACCACTGCTAGAGATAGAGGATAGAGGTGTGTCTCTGTCCCGCACTCAAAGGAAGAGGTATTTTACAAGGGTATGCGTCATCAGGGTGTCATTTCAGAATCTGTGTTCACCACAAAATGTCTGTGATTTACATACACCAGTGAAAAGCAGAGATTGTCCGTGGGTATACAAAAGTTAGACCCAGTTGTATTGTTAAATCTCTGAGACTTAGGGTGGTGATGGAATTTTGAACAAAATAATGTGTATGTCAAAGCATTTTTGCTTTTAAATTATAGTGAAATCTGAATGGTATTACATTCCTCCCCCACCCCATTCTGAGTTCATCTAAATCCCTATCCTTATAAATAAGACTACTTGGTTTAATTTTCTAATAGATCAGAAAATAAACAAAGTAGTACGAACAGTTTATGTTTGGATCTGGTAATTTTTCGGTTTTCTTGTTTTGCTATTAAAATTTCAATTTTATTATTTGAAAAGCCGCTACTAATAATGCAAATTAAGGGTTTGAATACATCCCTTAGGTCATGAATGGCAAGATGAACTTTCTCGTATTATGGCGATGACAGATCCAGCTTTTGGATCTTCAGGAAGACCAATGCTTGTTTTATCTTGTATTTCTCAAGCAAGTGTAAAAAGAATGCCCTGTTTTTATTTGGCCCATGAGCTCCATCTGAATCATCTAAGCCACCCATGGATGGTAAGTTTCTGTCTTCTCTGTGAGATAAATCTTATTTTTCACTGTATTTTCTCTCTGATTTTATTCATTCCCACTCATTCTCTTTAATGAACTAATATTATAAAATTAGTTTTAATAGTTCAGTTGGTGGGAGATAGTTGGTGTCAATGTCTTAGCTCATCAGTTGGTCCCTTCTTGCCTCTCCTATCTTGGAAACAGTGAGAGGTAGAAATTGAGGATTGTGTTTTTGTTTTTAGAAGTACTATCATGGTTTTGAAAGCATTAATATATTGTGCTTTAAAGGCCACAGAAAATATAGATTTCATCTTATTACAGCTTACTGCTTTTCAAATTTCATTTTAATCATGGAATCCTTTCTTCAATGAAACCCTAGGTGAAAATAGATAAAGAAACATTAAAATTGGAAATGCTTTTGCTGAAAAGTTAGATTTTCTTTCTTCCTAAACCCCTGTCCCTTCCATGAAGCCCTGGAGATTCTTGGAACACAGTTTGAAAGCTACTTACAGAGGTGAGCTTTAGAAGTGGCAGTCTTAAAGACCCATTTTGGCACTAAGATGTCACACTGGCTGACTATCTGGGGTCATTCAAAAATGGTTTAGTTTTCAAAGTGGATTTGAAGCCATTTTTTCCCCTAATACATACAAACAAATCATGGAATTGGTAGTTCTTTCCATTTCTAAGGCTGAGTTACAAAATAAATAATAAGCCTATTATTTGTAATAATTATGAGGGATCAGAGATAATTACTTTATCTCAACTCTCTGGAAGACAACATTTGAATGACTTCACCCAACATTTACTGAAAGTTTAAGTTCTATTCTTTTTTGTAGGGTCTAGAAAAATGTCCCTTGTAATCACAAGATTTTCAGCTTAGTTTTTATTGACAATTGTCTCTCTTTTCTGCTCATAGGTCCAGGATACTGAGGCTGAAAGTCTAGCTGGCTTTTTGAATGGCATTCAGTGGATTCTTGAAGAAGTAGAATCTAAACATGCAAAATGATCATCCTTCTGGACCCTGGGAACTGAAACAACGTGAACTTGTCACTAAAGTCATGATGTGGATATTTGCTTTAGTGGCTCATTTTGACCTGCCTTGGGCAGGTAGGCAATATACTGGACAACTGTAGCTATGGTGTTTTTTAAAAATACAATTCTTACTTTTTACCTTAAATCAATTACAAGAAAAAGGTTCAATGCCAGCAAGCATTTGTCCTTAAAATTAAATTAACATTTTTTGATAACTTTTATATTTTCTGTCTTTTTAAAAATAATAAATTCTGGATAAAACAAGTTTGTGCCTCTTTTACCTTTTTTTAAAAATTTTATAACAGTTTATTTTTACATCATTTTTTTTCCCATCTCAATTGTAATCCCCACGGGTTTCCCATCACCAAGTCACCCGTGTGCCATCACCATAGTCCCGTACACTTCCCTCCCCACTCCCCTGTTTTTGATCCCATTCCCCATGTGCCTCTTTTATCTTAGTGGTTTCTATTTTTTTTTTTAAGCTCAAAGATTGGCTTAGTGGGGAATAGCAGATTTGTTAAACTTTCTACAGGGTTCTTTCCAAGAGGCTTTAATTGTTATCAGAACTTTTTATTTACTAAATATTCTGCTTAAAGGGCATTTCATTAAAGCAGGAATTGCATTTAATATTGTGGTCATGCAATTTCTGTTTTCTGAAACATGAAAATTAATAACATGTAATACCTTTTCAGTGAAAATAGCTTGATGGGAGGCCCATGGGGATTACAACTGAGATGGCAAAATGCACAAAATGAAGAATGATGTAAAAAAAAAGAAAGAAAGAAAAAAAATGGGGCCAAAAAAACCAAGAAAATAGCTCTCCTTGAAGGTTCTTGCTACTTTCAAATAAATTTGAAACCAGCAAACTTATTTGAAAGTAGCAAGAAGTGAAATCCTAAGTTACTGAAGTGAAATCCTATTTCATCTCATGAGAAGACACTCCAAAGACGCAGAGGATTATATGCTCACCTCCTCATCACAAGTTGCTTACATTTTATAGAGGACACATTATAGCCCTCCAATCTCACTGAAATGAAGGAAATTTCAGGTAAGGGTAAAAAGAGCATAGTAATTTCAGTAGAGCTTCCATCCCATGAATAGGTGCTGTTCCACAAAAAAAGGAAGCCCTCCCCCCCCCATCTCAGGTACACTCAGCCAGAACTTAACCTCAGGTTTCTGTAGTTGCAGGCAGGATAAGCAATGCTGGCATCTTGCTCCATAGAGGAAGATCCTCTGACTTAGACAGGATGTTTGATTTCCTTGTAGATTCCAACTTGCTGAGCTAGAGGAAGAAAGGAGGGAGTGGGTCTTGGTTCAAATCTCACTGACTCTTGCTGTTCTTAGTTTTAGTAGATTAGTTCTACATAAATTTGTATTCCTTTGCTGTAGGGCCACTTACACTAAATTACTATAAAATCATTTTCTTTAGTTTTTTCCAGGAATTGTTCCATAGAATTCTTTATGCTGTTAAACCTAAATGAATCCCCCTTTGCCTTTCACTATGTGTAGTTTTGTCACCTCATTCATTCTTAGTAATTTATGACTGCTCACTTGATTGAACTGACTAGATTTTTATTAATTCTGTTCTTATAGAACTAGCTTTTGATTTTATTGGTTTATTATATTGTTTTTCAATTTTCCATTTTGTTGATTTATGACCTAATCTTAACTTTTCTGCTTTTTTCAACTTTAATTTTCTAGTGAATTAGGTAAAAGTTAGGTCACTAATTCTGGTTCTTTTTAAATAAATATTTCAAGCTATAGATTTTCCCCTAAGTCTCACGTATATGCACACATTTTGATATATGTTGATATTGTTCATGTTTTTATTATTAATATATTTTCTGAAAACTTATGATTATGTTTCAGCCCAATAATTTAGTATTATGGTTTTAGTATTCTTTAATCACTATTTCTTAGCTATTTTGTGATTGAATTTGAATTCACAGCATATTTTATACAATTTCATTTCAATAATCAATTTACATTCAACCCAAATCTGTCTTTATATTTTAAGTGTGTCACTTGTAGATAAAATGTTATGGATATTTCCTTTTCTTTTTCTATTCAGTAAATACTTATCTTTTTTTTTTTTT